GGTGAGAGAGGGCGGGTGGGGAGGGAGGGAGGGAGGATATTGAGGGGTATTATGTTTAGTGCACATGGTGGGGGGGGGTGTCACAGGGAAAACAGTGTAGCACAGAAGTGAACAGTGAATCTGTAGCATCTTACAACAGTGATGGACAGTGACTGCATTAGGGTATGGGTGGGGACTTGATAATATGGGTAAAGGTAGTAACCACATTGTTTTTTCATGTGAAACCTTCATAAGAGTGTATATCAATAATATGTTAATAAAAAAAATGATCCAGTCATTCCACTCCTAGGTATTTTTCTAAAAGAAATGAAAGCATATGTCTATGCATAGACTTGCATATGAATGTTCATATCAGATTTATTTGTTGTCTTAGCTCAGGTTGTCATAATAAAATAGACTACTTGGCTAGATAACAGAAAATTATTCCTTAAAGTTCTAGAAGCTGGAAAATCCAAGATCAAGGTGCTAGCCAGTTTGGTTCATGGTAAAAGCTCTCTTCCTCTCTTGTAAACAGCCACCTTTTCCCTGTATCCCCACATGCAGAGAAAGAGAGAGAGAAAGGGAAAGAGAGGGAGATTATAAGGTTACAATCCTATCAGGTTAGGACACCACTCCTTTGACTTCCCCATCTTATGAATGAAATCATTTAATTTTTATTACCTTCTAAAGATTCAATCTTTAGATAAAATCACATTTTTAGGTGAGTTATTCAACATATAAATTTTGGGGAGACACAATGCAGTCCATAGTATTTGTAAAGCCAAACACTTAAAACACCCCAAATGTCCATCAATACGTGAATGGCTGGCTCAACAAGCATAGTCTTGCAGTGGAATGCTACTCTGCCATGAAAAGGAATTTAAAATTTGGATGGATCTGTTAAAGTCAATAACAAATAGACACTGGCCTTAAAAATTTCCTGAGCAGACAAAACCAGTTTAGTCATACTAAAAAAGCTTAATTTAGTTTACATTTGTAAGGCTAACTTGACCTGGGTCATTTCTTACTTAAGCCTCTGGAAATCACAAACAAAACTTAAATGTTCTCAAGGTGGATATGAGGTAACCACTGACAAATTCTCTATCAATTAAGAAAATTCTAATATTATAACCAATCACTGTGAATAATAACCAATCACTACTTTCTTACTATATAAGGGGCTTTATAACAATATATCCCTGTGTTAGGAAAGAGTTTAAAACCTAAATGTGATTTATTCCCACTAGGATGTTTAAACATTTTAACAGTAAGGTATTAACAAAGGGCCACGTGGTGGAAGCTGCTCAGGCTGAGAGTGGGGGTGGGGGAATTGATAAGGGCCTGGCAATACTTGTTTGAGTTTTTTTTTAAACCTACCAATAAAATTAAGACAAATGTAAAGGAAAGATATAACTGGCTTAGGCAACGTCCCGGGAAGAATGTGAACCCTGTAGTACTCAGCCGATGAGGAACCAGGGGAGGGGCATACTAGGAGATAAATTATTGGCGCCAAACTCCCCAGGTGTGCCTGCCCACCAGACACCCGATCTTGCAAGACAGTCATTAAAGCCTCCCTCAGCTGTTCTCTTTGTCTCCGTGTCCACTTACTGAATTTGGACCAGTGAGTGTGTTTCTCACACCTGAGCCTAATTCCATGTTTTTGGTTGAATGCTCCCAGTTTGCAAATTTTCTTTTGGGTGTATGCACAATAACCTTTTACTAATTAACTACTTCAGTGATACATTGTTTTTACTTCTGTTATTTCTGAACTTCTGAGAAATCTCAAAATAATTATTCTAAGCAAAAGAAGCCAGACATACTCTCCCCCATAGAGAGCCCTGATATAAACCATCCTACAGTTTGGGTTTCTTTAAGCCCACTTATTTAAAGATATCTAGTAAAATGCGAAGTAATATAGTGACAGAAAGCAGATCAAGGGCTGGAGTCGGGGACAGGAGGCACGAAAGAGGATTCCACAGGGAAGGAGAAAACTTTTGGCAGTGAGGGTTATGTTCACTATCTTGATTGTAGCCATAGTCTCACAGGTGTAAACGCAGTTCAAAATCTACCAAATTGTATTTTAATTAAACCCCAATCTGCTAAAAGAAAGGTTTGATTAAATTAATAAGAATTCGGTGGAGCTATGAAGGGGAAAGACTTAAATTCATGAATGAGGTGAGGCTAAAAGGGACAATAGCCTTATATTTGTAAATTGACAAGGTTAAGAGAGGCATTGGTTTAAACCCACAGTGGAGCAGGACTAATAGAGGGTGTGCTATAATGAGTTATAAGAAATACATATTTCCCAGGTATACTGGTCTTCGAACACAGTTCCTGGAAACACTGCAGGATCTTAAAGGTGAAACAGGTGTTGTGTCATGTTAATGAGAGACTTTTGGACCCCCACCCAATGACGGGGGCTGGAGGCTGAATCAGCCAATGGCCAACAATTTAGTCAATCATGACTATGCAATGAAGCCCTCACAGAACCCAGGAGAAGAGCTCTCTCGCACCTGCTCTAACTGCCTGGCTGGTCAGTTGGATCCTGCTTCTTGGTCAGAGAGAGCTTCTATGCTTGGGGAACCAGAACACCTCCATGTGCCACCAAGCCAGGTCCCAAGCTCCACGAGGATAGGAGCTCCTTTACTTGGACCTTGCCCTATGTCTCTCTTCACCTAGCTGTTAACCTGTATCCTTTATGGTATCCTTTATTAAACTGGTAAACGTCAATGTCTTCCTGAGTTCTGTGAGCTGCTCTAGCAAATCAATCGAACCTAAGGGGCAGGTCGTGGGAACCTCCAATCTGTAGCCGGTAGGTCAGAAGCACAGGTAACTGCCTGGGGCTTGCCACTGGTGTCTGCAGTGGGGAGTGGAGGGCAGTCTTGTAGGACAGAGCCCTTAACCTGGGAATCCAGTGCTGCCTCCAGGCAGATAGCATCAGAATTGAGTTGAGTTCTCCAATGCCCTGATGGTGTTTGAGAATTGCTTGGTGTAAGTATATGTGGAAGACCCCGTCCCACATACTTACACACATTGGAATTGGGTTTAGGTATCTGAACGAAGTTACACTACTATTACTGCTGTATATAATAGTGTTAATGTTATACATATATGTAGGGAAAAAAGTTTATCATGGCATTTGGTGTCAGAGATGTTACAGAGGGTTTCACCTTGTCCAGCCTGTTGTAATCATTAATTGATTACAATAAACCTACCAAACAGTTTGGCTAGGCACAATGCAGATGGTTTGGAAGTTTTATTCCTAATCCCTTGGAAATTTTACCATGCACATCCTCATTATTCCCACTTACTGGAGGGGTACACTGAGGCTTCAGAGGAAGAAGCAGCTAAAGTTCTACCTTCTGCAGCTAGGGTCTGCTTTCTGTCTGGAACCCCTAAGCCTGCCAGCAGCTTGAGTGATCTCACCACCACTCCCTCAACCGCAATCGTTGGCCCTGTCCCCAGATTTGCACTGTGAGAGCTCCAGTGAACCTCCACCCACAGTCTAGGGCTTCTACCCTCTACAATGATCTCTGAAGCAATCGTTGGACACCCCTTTCTTCACAAATGCCCCCAAGAATGAGCTTCTCTCGCAGTCTGAAGACTTTTTCCCATCTCCAGACCTTCAAGCCCTCAAGCAGTTGGCAAACTCCCTGCTCCATTTCCAAGACCTCCCAGCTGCCAGATGTTTGGAAGCCTTCCCTCACCATCCACCACTCATCCTTTCAACACTGCCTTAGTCTTCAAGACCCTCCCATGCACAGATCTACAAGCCTCAAGCTTCTGTTTCCCAGTCTGCGAGCACCCCTCTGCCCCATCCATGGGATCCTGAAGCCCCGAGGCCCAGACTGGCAGCTGCCCTCTCCATCTTCAGTGCTTGAAGTCTCAACAACAAGACAAGGCAGTGAAGGAGGACAAGGAAGTAAAGGAGGTCAAGCCTGTCCCCCATCAGACAAGGTCAAGTCAGAGTGGGGAGAGAGGCAGAGGATGGCAGGAGGAATGAGAGCAGGTACCATTCACCCCTTTCACCTATGACAACACTGGGACCCTGAAAGGTGGGTGAGAGAGGTTGCGCAGCGAGCCAGAATGGGCGTCAGGGCACAGGCCAGAGTGTAACAGGGCCCATAGTGAAACAGTCAGAGACCAAGTGAGTGTTGGGGTAAGCTGCCTGAGACCTAGGTCGTTGTTCGGGGAGCTGTGGGGTCCTGGGAAGTTGTCTGAGACCTCCTGCCCTCAGCTTCTTCCTCCACAGAGTGGTGGTCCCAGGCTGTCTCTCACTGCTCCCCATTCGTCCTTCCACTACAGCAACACTGTGCCCAAGCCCTCCTCCACTGGGGTCTGTGCCCTTAGATCCCACCCCCAACTCCCACCGCCCTTTTCAAACCTACCACAGGCCTCCTTTCTCCTCTTTCATTGTCTGGCACCCCACACCCATCCAGGTATCTTCAAAGCCTCTTCAAGTCCAGGAACCCCCCCTTCCACTCTCAAGGGGACCTGCCCTTCCCTGCCTTCTGAGTCCCCCAACCCTATCAGGCTCAGGGCCCCAAACCCTGTCATGGCCCTCAAGGCTCCAAAGGCAGCCCCTCCCCAGCTCACCGGATTCTTTCAGTTCCCCAGCAGGAACCGGCTTAGGCGAACACTCACTGCACATTTACTGAGCGCCTACCATGTGCAAAGCTCTGTTGGAAGCGGCAGAGTTCCCTGATGAAACCTGGGCTCCGGATGTGCATGCCCGGTTCTTAGATGACAGAGCTCAGGTGGGGCCCTTCACTTCTCTGGGCCTCGACTTCCCTTTCCTCACACCTGAAATAACATCCCCCGGGTGGACAGAAGAGCCCCAGCTCAGCGTCCTGGGAGAACAGAGAGGCGCCTGAGACAGCGAGGCCAAGCGCTCGCGCTGGCTCCCGCAGCCAGGCCTGCTTGCCAGCCGCCAGGTAGGTCACCGCGCGGGTCGGGACGCCGGGCACGGGACCGGCCCGCCTCAGCCGCGTTGAGGCCCGGGCAGGCCGCCAGGTGAGCGCACCCAGAGCTCCAAACACGTCGCTGGCGGCCGTGCGTCCACCCTCCAGACCACGGGTCATGGAGCCGCGCGCGGGGGGCGCCACAGACCCCAGGGGAAGCAGAGGAGGTAGGGGGAGGCGGGGAGGGAGTGGGCGCGTCCCTGCCACTCCTCGCTCCGCCTGTCTGCTCCTCAGCTTTTCCTTCCGACAGGTGGCAAACAAAGCAGCACTGGAGCCCAAGCGGCGGCGGCGGAGGCGGCGACCGGGGGCAGGGGCCCGGCGACCCGGGCTGGGCTCGAGGTCCCCTATCTGCACGTGCGCCGCGGGGCGGAACACCAGACCCGGGGGGCTCTTACGAGTCTCCCGGGAGGTGTGCCGGAGGGGTCTGCCGGGGGTCACTAGGACCACCTAGGCCTCAGGGTCTGTGGTGACTTAATTGTGGGGATTTAAGCAGGGGCCTCTGGGGATGTGTGGAGGGGCAATGTGAGGCTGCATGGGCCATCAGGGTTGCCTAGGGTATCTGGAAAGGGAATCGGGGGTGCCGGGCCACAGTGGGGCAGACCGTATTCTGTCGGTACACCTGGGGGAACTGGGGTCCCTCTCGACATTGTGGGGGAAGAGTTTGGAATCTGGGGTTCTGAGGGGGCAGTCGGGGACCTCCAGGGATATTCACAGGCGTTCGGAGGTGTCCAGGAATATTGCGAGCCAATGGCTATCTCCTGGGATATCGTGGGGGCCGACGGGGTGCACGGGCCCACGCGCGACTTTCCGGGGTGGCGGGAGATGAGGGGCACAGTCGGCCACCTCCGGAACTGCCGGGGGAGGGAGTGGTCCGGGGGTCTCCGAAGATCTTGAGGGGCGGGCATTCGGCGTCTTCGGGCGTCAGGGAGCTGGGGGTTTGCCGATGCTGAGAGTGGGCGCTGATCTGTTCTTCCCACCCGCGCAGGCCGGGGCCCTCGCCAGCCCGCAGGCCCTAGGGCCCGGCAGCTCCTGGCACGGCTGGACTGACGTCCCCTGGCTGCGCGAGCTGCGGCCGACGTGGCGGCGCTGGTACGCAGGACGGGCACCACATTGCGCCTGCGCTCCAAGGAGGGTGCGTGTCGGGGGCGGGGCCTCCCCGGGGGGCGGGGGTGGAGCTGGGTTCTGACGGGGACCCGTAATTGTTGGTTTCTCCCCCAATGGTCGTGGCTCGGGAGGGCGGGGCTCGGAGGGAGAATCGAGTGGGCGGGGCCGTGGGGGTATCCTAGAATTTTCTTATAAGGAGATGACACACCCGGCGGGTCTTTGCAATAGGTGAATGTTGCCACGTGAGTTGTGAGTGCCGGACTGGGTCGGCATCCCTGTGGGCGGGGCGTCGAAAGGCGTTTCTGAGGAGGCGGGGCCTGCAGAGCGCCGGGGCGGGCACTTGACTAAGGGGCGGGCCTGGAGTGCCAGTCTGGCGGCTGGAGCCTACAAACGTACTAGGGGGCAGGGCTCGAAATTGTGAGGACTGACTGGAGGTTTCTAGGCTAATTAGAGGGCGGGTCTGGAATGTTCAGGAGCTGAATCCCGGGTGGGCTTCCCTGGTGGGCCTCAGGGTGTTACTGGAGGGGCGGGTTCTGCGTGTTGAGGGAGGTAGGAGCGTCCGGCGGCTTATTCAAATAGCCTGGCCCTGGATTATTAAGAATTGAGTGATCATGTCAGTTATTCGTGTGGGCGGATCCTATTAAATATGTGGGCGAGTTTGCATTCTCAAGGTAAGGAAATGAGATAAGGCGAAAATGTTCCTAGATTTCTATTAAGTACCCCTCCGACTGCCTCTTTTACTCCTTAGCAGTTAGCGTGGTGGATTCTGCTGAGATAGAGATCACAGACATTCGCCTTCCTAATGCCACTTTGGTGGAACACCAGCCTCAGGTACCACCTCGTCCTCCTAATCGAGGCTAACTACCTCTAGACTGGCAATGTATGTACACTTGTGTCCTTACTCCAGCATCGTCAGTCAGAGACCATGTGTACATATACCGCGTCTTCCGAAGTGACCCAGGGTAAGGCCCGTTATGCTTCAAAGCCACCCCAGGCCTCTAGTCTGTTCTATGTGGAACTGGTTCGAGGTTCCACAGGCTTTGGCTTCACATTCAGTGGAGGTCGAGGTGTAGCTGGAGATGCTACTTTGACAGTGCGCAGGCTGCTGAAGGACAGGCCGGCACAGTGCTGTGGTCGTTTGCAGGTGAGTCATAAGGAATCAATCCTCCGTTCGACAGTCTAACCCTGTCCCTGGCCTTTGTCGGGGTGCTCTCCGTTTGCCCTTCTCACAGCACCCCTCCTCTTGCACTCTTGCAGGCTGGCGACCTCGTGCTCCACATCAACGAAGTCAACTCAGGGCCTCACCCATGCCCAGGTCGTGGAGCAGATTCGTGCAGGAGGCCCCCGGCTGTACCTCATGCTAAGCAGGCCTCTTGAGACCCACCCTGGCAAGCCTAAAGAAGTGGGAGAGCCCAAGAAACGAGATGGTGGGTTTCTCAGGGGATGGGGTCAGTGATCTGTGAAGGGAAGGAGTGGGTCACAGAGTGGAGAGGCTGGGTCCTAGATAGGAAGCGTTTGGTGATCTCTGTGGGGAGTGTCCTGGGGTCGGTGTCTGTTAGACATCAGTGTTCTCAAAAGTGGGGGCGGGGAGGGAAGGGTCCCAGGATAGAAATAAAGGTCGATTTCTGAAGGGAGGTATTCGAGGTACTGGCAAGGGAGAGGGGGGAAGGGGCCTGTGGTAAATACAGGTGTTCAGAGGGAAGGGTTGTGGTCCTGATGGGAAGGCAGTGTGGGTCTCTGCACGGTGGGGATGGAATGGGGATCCAGAGGGTAGGGCTGTGTGGTGCTGAAAGACAAGTGGTCCGTAAGGGAAAGGGTTGGGAAGTAGGTTTGACAAGTGGAGAGTTTGGGGTCCTAGATGGAAGAGGTTTGGCGTCTTGAGGTCAAGGTCAGGGTTTGATTTCCTTCGGGGATTGTGGGAAATTATTTCTAAGGGGCGTGTTCTTGATGCAGGAGAAGAGGGGTCTCGGGAATGGATAGGGGGGCGGGAAGGAGGTCCCGAGGGGTGGTGGCAGTTCCTGGAGGGCGTGTCCAGGCCTTGAAAGGAAGTTCTCTAAGGAGCAGAGTCTGTCTCCAGCCGTCCTGGGAGTCTCTCAGCCAAGGGGTCATGCTCTCCGTTCCCCACCCTAACCCCAATCCTAATCTAATCCGCAGTCCTGCCACCCTCAGATCGCAGCCCAGATCCTGGGGGACCAGAGATAATGAAGTCTCACAGCGCCAGCGCTTACCCACTTCAGCACCTTCGATCCCGGGGCAGCCCAAAGCCTCACCCAGAGGGGGCTGCCGAAGGCCCCGTGGTTCCTTCTCCTGAGCACCACACAGAGGGCCCTGACAATGGAACCCTGGGTTCCCCAGGACCCTGGCTGGTTCCGAGCGAGGAACGGCTCTCGCGGGCCTTAGGGGTCCCGGGGACCGCGCATCTCGCTCTGGAGATGGCAACCGGAAGGCGGAGGCACTGAGCACGCATCAGAAAGCTGTTACCACTTGGTGAGGCTCAACCTGAATCTGGCGCGCCCCGCCCACCGCGCAGTAACATAGGGGGAGACTTTCTACTTGGCCTTGTCCCCCCTCCTGCTGTGCAGCCGGCCAACCTGCACTCTGCTAGCAGCATCAGTGGTAACGGCCCTTCCCGACAGCCTGGCCCTGTGCTTTTTGTTTCAGGCGGGGGAGGTAATAAAATAGTTCGGTCCGGTCTTGACTTGCCAGGTGTTCTCGGCCGGGTGGGGCTCCCAAGTCCAACCGGGAAAGGACGACGGGGTGGGTCTGTCAGGTTTCGAGGAGGGCCTCCTCTTGTAACCTACTGACAAGCTTACTTCCTATTTCTTTCATACATCTAGAGTGGTCTTTGCTTCTGCCAGTTCTCAGCCAGGGTGCTTCCTCCCTATGTTATTTCTCTTTGCCAACTCCTGCTTTTCTCTTCATTCATTCATTTCACTTTTTGGAGTAGTGCAAGGCTCACAGATAATTGTGCATGGCGATGGGGAATGCAGAGATGGGCTTGTTGTGTGGGGGAAATGCACCTGTATATCCACAGCCCTAGCCCGGAATCACCAGACCCTCAGCTGACAGCCGGATAGTAAGACTAGAACTAAGCCTTCGCAGGGAGCCTGCGGTCTCTTACTTCCTGGTTGGCCAGCTTTTAGCTGGCACGTACACTGCCACCCTCAGGGCACACGGGCTGGGGCCCTGGAGCCCCCTCTGAGACGGAGCGGGGAAGGTGTGAGTCAGTGGGCCGGGCTAAAAAAGGCTGTTAGAGCCTTTGGGCCACGCCCCCTGTACCATAGATGGTGATGAAGTGGTTGGGCTTGTGCGCACACACCACATGCTGGGTATTCCTGGTCCTGGGAGAGGCCAGTTTCCTCCATCTTGGAACAGAGTTCCAAAGCCAAGGCTTATATGCCAGTGGGATTCCAACCAGTGTAGCTCTTAAGCAGGCACTAGCTGAGTACAGAAATGTCCAGTCACCTCCCCTGTTACCACATCCTGAACACTTGCCCCCACCCTCAGCCCAAGGAAGCTGTGGTCAGGTGGAAATGAGCAACTCTTACTTCTATGGGGAGGAGGCAGGGAGAGGGAAAGGACAGGAGTGTGTCTAGGGTGGCGCTAGGAAGGAGTGAGGGACTGCAAAGTCAGGCTGGGAGTTACTGTATAGAGGTGATGAGGTGGTCCCTTGAGTGGTCAGTGCTATAGACACTATGGGGGAGTGTTCTGGGGCTTCCAGCTGCTCCTGACTCAGCCTGGTGGAGGTGTGTCTCTACAGAAGTCAAGAGAGGGCTCCAGATCCCCAGTCCTATAAACATAGTCACACCCAGGACACTAATAATAGTAACCCCAGCCACCATTTACTTAGCTTTATCCCTCCTACATGCTTTGCTTGGACTATCTATTTTCATCTAGTTGTACATCTACTCAACAATGCTGATATGTCCATTTCACAGAGGAGGGAAGTGAGGCCCAGAGAGTACAAATAGCTTGAGGGAGGCAGATTGAAGCAAGACGTAATCAAGGCCTGATTCCCAGCCCTGTCCTCTTAATCTCACCTGCATCTGACAAGTAATGATTGAGTCCCAACTGTTTACCTTGCATTGTGATAGGCACTGGGGAGACACTGGGGGAACAAAACATAAAGATTTCTATCCTTGTGTAGCTGATGTGGGGTGGGGGACAGAGATGTCAGAAGAGAAAAGACAAGACCAGAAAATGAAAAAATAAAAGATGATTTTAGAAAGATATGAGAGTTAGGAAGACAGCAAAAGGAGGTTATGTTGGAGGAAGTAAGGATGGTGGGCTGCTGGTCTCTTTGAAGACATAACATTTGAGCTGGGACCTGAATGACCACAACCCATATGTATGAAGAGCTGGGGGAAGGGCATCGACAATAGTGGGAACAGCAGGTGCAAAGGTCCTGATCCAGAGCAATTTGTTTTGTTCTAGCAACTCAGGCATGTCCTCGAAGTGCTGGAAAACACACTCAGCACTGGGGAGGAGCTCCTTACTTGGGAGAATAGGCAGGCCTTTAGGTTGAACCATCCTAACCTTCTAGCCACGACTCTACTCTCCTCAAATGAGGTGAGAATAAAACCAACGTCCAGCCTGCAGAGTGTGCCCCTTAGTACATCTGAGAGAGATCCTAGTTCCTGTGAGCAGGTGCATGTCTCAGATGCAGAAACAGAGGCTGAGTCAGGAGAAATTACTTGCTCAGGATAACACACTCTTCAAATGTCACCAGGCTTGCCACCCAGCCTGGCACTCCAGGAGCCTTCCCTTCATCTTGATAGGCTCCCAGCAATAAATAAACCTATGCTCTTTCCCCATTCTTCATCTAGAGCTGGGGCTGACAGCCCCTCTCCTTAGAACAGGAAACAGGCCCAGCACTGAGGGCCAGGACTTCCCTAGAATTACAGAACAGAGAATCAGACCCTGGGCTCTGACACTATTAATAATGTCGGCCCCCATTTGCTGAGCAGCTTGATGCTCACCAGGCCCTGTTCTCTCTCAGCCTATATACCGGCAAGTTCTCATCCCCATCACTGCTACTGAGAGGCTTATTCTATGGTCCACAATCATTTATCCACAGTTTCGAAGTCCAAAAAGCCCTGGAAACTGACAGTTTTTCCACAAGTTGGGAAACTTTGGTTACACAACCTGACCTGACTTGACAAGAAAAGAAGTTCAGTCCTGGTTTATTCCACTTATTGGGAACATCCACACCTTTCGTTGGGCAAATATTAAGGTTTTTGGTTGTTTTTCAATGGGGCAGCCTCAGGCCACGCTGAGAGTGTTAGGTAATATATCGCATATGCACCGGGAAAACTTTCTAAAATCCTTAGTATTCCGAATTCTGGAGGCATACCAGGGTTCACCCATGGTCTCAGCCTTTTTTACTGCTAAGGAAACGGAACCATTCCCTCCCAAAGCCAGATGCCCGCGGTTCTAAATTGAGGCAGCTCCAGAAGCATTTGTGTTCTAAAAGCGCAGAGTCTCATTACCGCACATGGTACCCCGCACTGCCAAGCCTCAAAAGCTGGCGTCCCCTGAGATGGGTCGCCCCGGGGGCTGTGCGCCAGGCGGGGATTATCCTCGGCGGGCGGGGGGGAGGGGGCTTCCGGGGCGGCAGCCACCTGGCCCGGCCCCCTCCGGCCCGCCCGCTTCTGCTCCGCGAGGTGATTCACTCCCTCCTTCGCCCCGGAGCCCCCTTCCCTGCCAGACGGCGGGCAAGAAGCTTGGGAGTGCAGCGTCCTCGTACCCGTGAGCGAGCGACCAAGCAGATCCTCCGCGCCCCTAGGGACTCCGGCCCACGCCATGGCGGATTCCGAGCGCCTCTCGGCCCCCGGTTGCTGGGCCGCTTGCACCAACTTCGCGAAAGCCCGAAAGGGAATTCTCCTGTTGGCTGAGATTGTGAGCGTCCGGCGACAGTAGGGTGGGCAAAGGCCGGGCGGGCAGCCGGGCAACCCCGCGTTCGGCAGGCGCGGGGCTGGGGGCGTTCGGCAGTGGGGCGCGGGTAGATGAGATAGTGGCAGAGGCCAGAAACCAGGGGCGTAGGGAGAGTCAGTGGGGTTTGGAAAAGTGGTCGGGAGCTGCTGGGCCACGGGGTGCAGCTAGGGGTCCATAGCAAATGTGGGGGGACCAATGGAGGAAGACCTCGTGGATTCATCGAAAGGGTCCCAGGGGATGGTTGGGGGTCCCGGATGGCAGGGCGTGGTGAGGCCTGGGCCCTGGCTGGCGGATGGGCGGGCTGGCGGCGCGCCCAGAGGCGGGGCCTGTTGGGTGCGGCGGCGAGCGCTTGTCAGACAGGGTAGGCGCCCCGCCCTTGGCCAGTTCTTCCTCACCCTCTGTGGTGGGGGAGGAGGTCCTTAGCTATTTGGGCCTCTGGGAGGCCTGGATTTCCCGCCCCCCTCAAAGTGGGCACCCCCTTTAAGTCACTCGTAAAAGACGTGCGACACCTTTAACGGAGCCAGCCCTGCCCCTCCAGTCTCTTACTGCTTCCCAAAGAGATTGCCTGGGGAACCGCACGTCCTGCCCCGTCAAGGCCCAGAAGCTGGCGCCAGCAGTGTTCACAAAACACCTGGTGGCGCCCCTTCCTGCAGCCTGCCCCTATCCAGGAAGGAAAAAGGGAGGAAACTGAGGGACCCAACATTTTCCTATTACTAGCTAGGTGATCCTGAGCAAGTCACCAAACCTCCCCTGTGCCTCCCTTTTCTCATCTATAAAATAAAGGTACTTACAATAGTACCCAGCTCAATAGGTTGTTGTGATGACTGAGGTAATACTTGTACAGCTCTTGGAGCAGTATTTGGAACTCAGTGAGCACACAATAAAGCATTTAGCCAGTACCATCACCCTCCTAGCCCAGTAGGCATCTGAATTTGAAACCCCCAATTTAAACCTATCCCTTCAGTCCTGGGAGCTGATCAAGCAGGGCGTCTTTTCCCTTGTCATCCCTCCAGATACTGTGCCTGGTGATTCTGATCTGCTTCAGTGCCTCAACACCAGCATACTCCTCCCTATCAGTGGTTGAGATGATCCTTGCTGTTGTCTTCTTTGTCATCTACATGTGTGGCCTGCACACCAAGATACAGATCATCAACTGGCCTTGGAGTGTGAGAAGGGGTGGAAAGGAGGAGGCTAGGGAGGGGCCTAGGCCAGTTGGGATTGTCTCGGGAACTCTGGATGCTGACTTCCCTCTTCTCTCTACACCTCACAGGATTTCTTCCGAACCCTCATAGCGGCCATCCTCTACCTGATCACCTCCATTGTTGTCCTTGTTGAGAAAGGAAACCACTCCAGAATCACTGCAGGGGTAAAGGCTATGGAGGCAGCTCCGAAGCAGAGAGAGGGGTTTGAGGATCCAGGGGCCATTTCTGCCTCTGTGTCTGGCAGAAAGTGTGTGGCCCAGAGCAGGCCACACTTGTCCTCAGGGTCTGCAGGAAAGTCTGGCCTATGCTGTTTTCTCGCCCAAGATCATCATTAGCTGTTAAAGGGCTATCCCTTGATCTTTTGTGGGAAGCCCAAAGAGACGGCCCCTTTGTCAACACACTAGACTACCATCTGCTAGAACTTTGTCTCAGATGTACAGTGTGAATGGTGCTTGACATGAGGGGCCAATGTGGCTTTCCTGTGTTGAGAGGTACTGGGAGGAGAGTCCAGAGGCCTGGTCTTTCCCTGGCGAATCTCTGGCCTCCAAGCTTGGGGCTTTAGTCACCATCCCTACATAGGGCAGTCACTGGAGGTGGTATATACAATGAGGGAAGAGGCTGGGAAGGCTGGCCAACCTAATCCAACCCCCCCCCACCCAGGTTCTGGGCCTAATTGCTACCTGCCTCTTTGGCTATGATGCCTACATCACATTCCCTTTGAGGCAGCAAAGACATACAGCAGCCCCTACTGGTAAGTGTTTGTGTGTGTTGGGGGTGGGGGTTGTTGCTGAGGAGACTGAGGAAAGGATATGGGTCTCCCAAGGGCATGAATGCCAACTCTGTCCCTTACTAATACTTAAGGCTTTAGTGCCAGTAAGTACCATAAGCTTCAGTATTCTTGTCTGTGAAATGGGCATATGGACCCAGCCAATGCTTCCTCTCTTTTCCTCACTTACAGATCCTGCAGATGGCCCAGTGTAGGTGAACTCCCTTCATTTCTCTCTGCAACCTGCAAGAAACACCTCCTTTGAAATAACTCTTCCCTGCTCCCAACACACGCCCAGCCAACTCCCAGCCCCTTATTAAGGTAAAAGTGCCTTTATTGGGAGCATTTGTGTTCCAGCCTGCCAATCAACCTTCCTGTGTGTGGTCACCTTTATGGGTGTGCCTGGGTCCCTCTTTCTTCTAGTGTCCAAAGGGAGACACTAGTTCTGCCTGGATATGCCCCCACCTAAGCCACAAAATGAGGGAGGAGAGCACCTCAGATTTCAAGACTCCAGGCCCCAGGTTGTGATCTATTCCAAATAACCTCAGTGTGGGATGGTTCTGTGGGGGGGATAAATAATAATAAACAGATTGTTAGCACACATGAGAATGAATAAATTAATCCTTTGATCAAATGTGGATGAATCTCAAGCGTTGGGAGGGGAAAATTTGGGAGGAGGCAGTTGGAGCAAGGAGGTAAAGAAGTCAGGCCTGTTTTACAACAAATGTTAAATTACTTCAATAATGCAAACACATGAAGGAGGGAGGAAGGAAGGGGATTTATGACTTAGGTTGGGGTGGGTGGGTCATCATGTGCACTGACTTGAGAATACAGCCCCCACCCAGTACTGCCTCACCCTCAAGCCACGATACAGTTCTTATCTCTGGCTTGGCGAGGCATCCCTGGGCGCGAGTTCATGGGGAGCTGCAGAGATGGAGAGTTGGGGGTCTCAGTTGGAGTGTCACGAGCAGGCACGGGCCTGCACAGGTGCGGGGGCAGCGGGATGCGTTCCCCTAGGAAGAAGCCGTCCTCCTCTGAGGACTCGGAACTTGGGCTAGAGGGCGAGCTGGAACAAGATCCCGAGTCCGACCCCGATCCCAAATCACACTGATGGCGACGTCTGGCAGAGTGGCGGCGGCGACGGGTGGGGGCCCTGGGTGGGGGACTTCGCGGCCTGCGGCGCTGGGCTGGGGGCGCACTCATGGTCCGCCGCGGCCCACCCTCAGACACCAGCGGGTCGCGGAAGCTGACGCGCGGGGCACTCTGGCGACCAAAAGTACCATCTTCCGGGCGCGGGTCTGGCAGGCCGGGGGGCCCGGGGAGTGTCTCGGGGGCGCTACGGAGCCCCAACTCGGGCATGGAGTGGCGGTGCGGGGCCCCTCTCAGAAAATGGGCGGGCTCCTCGGGGCTTGCAGCTGGAAAGAGAGATGGAGCAACTCCCTGTATCTGCACCCCCTAGAGAAAGCCTATGGAAGAACCTTCTCTTTCTTTTCCCCATCAGGACTGGAAAGGTGGGGGCATGGGTCAGACAGGGGCAGCGAGGTAGGGGAGTCCGGGAAATGTGAGGCCTGGAGCAGTCTGTGGGTGGAGCGGAGGAGGTGGGAACACAGGAGCAGGACTTGTTTGGTGTGTGGAGCGCGGTTTCTAGTGGGAGGGGGCGTGGCATAGGCTCCCGCAGACGAGGTTTGCCTTAGAATGGGGGCAGGGCCTGGGCACCAAAGGTGGAGGGTCAAGGGTTTGGAGGAAAGGAGGAACTTGGGCTCAAGCAGGGACAAGTTTGAGGTAGGGGACAGGCCCTGTACAGAAGGGAGGTTGAACCAGTGTTCAGGAGAGGATGTGGTTTGGTCTGGAGATGAGGCCTGGAATGGTTTGGGGACGAAGCCAGTGCTGAGATGGGGACGTGGCCAGGGATCCCGGGCCAGGTGAAGGGCCTAGGCGAGTCAGGAAGAGCGGCCAGGGTTGAGGCGGGGAGCGAAGGGAGGGGCGTGGAGTGGCTGCGTGTGGCTGACGGGCTAGCTCACCAGGCGCTGGCTCGGTGCTGGTGCCCTTTGTGGCTGTGTCGGATGCCCCCTCCACAGCGGAGAAAGCGGCTGTGGAAGCTGTGAAAGGGGCGGAGACCGTGACTGCGCTCCAGCTATGGCGGCCGGGTCCCGGAGCCGTGGGCTCCGACCCCAGGCTGCAGGCTCGCGAGCAGAAGATTCGGCCATGGCGTGGCAGGAAGGGGCGGCCCAGCAGGGCTCTCCCGCAGCAACTACAGCAGAAGCAGCGGTCTGAGGCGTGCCAGTGCTGGCCCTCATAAGCCATTTGGCCCTGGTCCAGGCCTGCAGGGACCGACGGGAGGAGGAAAACTGAGGCAGAGCCTCCAGGCCTATCCCCACCCCACATTCCTGGGAAGAAGCAGGGAATCTGAAGGAGGGTATTTGGAGGTGCTCTCTCCCCCCACCTCTCCAGAATGGGGCCCTTCTCTGGAGAAAGCAGGACACCCAAAGTTTGGTCCTCACCCAGGGTTCCTCATCTTAATTCTGTCCTGGAAATTGGCTGATAAATATGTCTTCCTCCCTCTTCCTTTCTTTCCCAGGGTGGGGATGGGCATTGGACTCTTAGATATGGGTCAGGCTTAGACATTAAGATGTGGTGCCTGGTGGAAGAAGTGTGGAAGGTGGACTTGAAGAAGAGGGTGGTGTGGCCAGGGTGTAGAAGGTAGGGGTGTGGCCTTGATGGGAAAGGAGTGGGTCTTAGAGGGTAGGGTGTGGCTTAGAAGGTAGGATGCTCAGAGGCTGGAGGAGTCTTGAAGAACAGGACATGGCTTGGGGAGGAGAGGCTAGGTGAGAGGGTAGGAGGATAGCTCTGGGGGCTGGGAATTAGAGGGCACAATGGAGGTGGGCCTAGGTGTGTAGTGGTACCCAGTGTTGTATAGGTGGGGCTTAGAAAGTATAGTGTAATGGGGGTACTGGTGACGGGACTTGGAGTTAAGAGTATAGGGCTTTTGTGCTGAGGCTAGACTTAAAAGAGTATGGGGTATAACGGGATGGGGCCTGGAGGAAACAAGGAATCCTGGGGGAAGGCTGTGGCCCAGCTGTTCATCCATTCGTCTATCCAGTTCCATGTTCACCTACCGATATGCTCCCCACAGCCATCACAGTACTCCGCGTGGCGGGCCTCGTAGCAGGCGAGGCAGTGGGGGCGGCTCTGATGCATGACATAGCGCTGACCTCCTAGTGATGCCTCACACTCGAAGCAGCAGAAGTGATCCATGTGCCAATGCCGGCCCTCAGCCTCTGTGCACTCAGGGGAGAAGATGATCTGGGGGTAGGCAGGCCATCTGTGGCTGTCAGAAAGGCCTGTTCCAGCCCTGCCCACCCTCCATTCCCACCCCTGTGCAGAGAGGCACGAACCTCGTCACAAGCTTGGCAGCGTGGGCGCAGGCGTTCAGCATGGTGGCGACCACAGTAGACCTTCCCAGCATGGTAGAAGTAGATGAGGTCCACCAGCAGCTCCCGGCACGTGGAGCACACAAAGCACTGTGGATGCCAGCAGGTGCCTAGGCCTGCGCGGCTGGCAAACACTGCGATGTCCCCACCTCCAATCTGCTTTCCACACTGCCAAATGACAGACACCGTCGCCATCACCGACATGGTCAGATGGATGGGGGTCAGCCAAGGTGTGTCCCACTTGGGCTTTCCCCCTGGCAGACCTTTGTGACTGGTCCCACCCATGGGGTAACTGAGACAGGCCCTGTCTCCTGGGCAGGGAGGCACCTTAGAGACTGACCTGATTCTGGCTGAAACCATAGAGACAGGTCCTCCTCACCTTAAAAGCAGCTCTTCCCCTTAGGTGGTTGGGGAAACTATAGAGACAGGCCTGGTCCAGTGGGGGACCTTAATGATAGACCTCACCTTAGATCCTAACATTAGGATCTAATGTCAGGCTCCACCCACCAGGGGGGAGCCAGAGGCAGGACCTGTCACTGTGGGTTGGTTCCTAAGGGTATGTCTTGACCACAAGAGGACCAAAGAGACAGCCCACACCCGACATCCACTATGTGGAGGGGAGGAAACTAATAGAGGAGGTCCATTAGGGCCTTTTTAGAGACAAACCACATTCCACAGTGGGATCTGAGGGACAGGCCCCAACCAACAGGGGGCCCTACGGATATATCTCACTGGCCAGGCTGGCCTCAGAGATGGTCCCTGCCTAACAGTGGGATGTGAGGAAAAGACCCCATCCACCAGAGGGTCACTAGAGGTGAACCCCAAGGACTTAAATGGCAGGCCTGGGAAATGGACCCAGCACCCCAGAGCTTGGTGCAAAGGCACTGCACACTCACTGAAGCCCTCCCTGGCTCACCTCCTCACAGATGGCCCCAGTGATGGTCACCGGGAAGATGCGCACAGTGCCACGCCCCAGATTCTCCCGCTTCCTCTGCTGACTGAAGGCTCGGAGCTCTTTCTTCTCTTCCTCTTCCAGTGCCGTGCAGTATTGTGCCTGGGGTAATGGGGATCTACCAGGCTCCTCCCCTGATGCCTGCCCCTGGCCCCTCTTCCAGGTTTCATCCATGCTCAAAAAATTTACTTCTGGGCCTTTGTATAGATGGTGCTTCTGCTCAAAATACCCACCCCTTACCTCTGCTCCCAAGGCCTGGCTGTGGTTTTGCCAAGGAATATCCCCTGATTACCCTTGCCTGTCCAGACCTTTCACCTCAGATCAGCACCGCTTTCCTTCTCTGACCCTGCACACTTTTTTCCAACTGCCCAGCGTTTGCCCAGGCTGTGCCCCCTATGTGGCATGCCATTCCTGTCTTCCCTCTTCTCACCTCACTGTCATGTGGGGGCAGCTGGTGCAGCAACTGTTTGATCCTGTATTTCTCCCCAGGACTGTTGACATAGGGAACCTTGTCCTCTGGGAGGCAGCTGAAAAATTGGTATACCTGGGAGGACAGGGTGGGATGGGGAGAAACAATTGAGATGAGGGGTGAGTTGGGATGCAGTGGGATGGTGGGTGCCTACTTCTCTGAGAAAATTAAAGTCATCAGAAGGGAGCTTTGACTGACTACCTCCATCTCTCTTTTCCACAGGTGGGATCATTCCTGTCACTTTCCAAACACGTTGAGAGTTCCCTCATGTCTTGATTCCACTTTTATCCTTCCCTTGATGGCAAAATTCCTCAAAAGAATTATGTGCACTTGTCTCTGCTTTCTCTCCTCTCTTTCTCTAGAGACCCCACTCCAGTCAGTCTTCCCCGATGCATCTGTCCCTCCTCCAAAGTGGTTCCTGTTTTGGTCATTGATAATATCCACATTGTTAAAATCATTGTTTGGGTCTCGATCCTCATCTAACTTGACCCATCAGTAGCACTGTACACAGCTGATCACTCCCTTTTCCTGGAAACACTTTGGTCACTTGGCTTTCAGAACATCACATGGTCCTGGACTTCTTCCTACCTTTATTGGCTGCCCCTTCTCTGTCCCTCTTTTGGTTCCTCCTCAATTAGCCAACCCCTAAATGTGGGAGGTCCTCAGGTTCAGTCCTTGGTCCTCTGGCCTGTCTACATTCACTCTTTTGGAAAATCACATCCAAGCCCATGGCTATAAATATCATCTCATGGCTAATGTCTCACAAGTGCATACCTCTAGCCCTGTGACCTCTCCCTTGAGTTCCAGGCAACATGGCCACTCAGATGTCTAACAGTCATCTCAGACTCCAGATGGCTATTGCTCCTCACCTTGCTCCTGACTCAGCCTGCCTCATATCAGCGTATCCATCCATCCTTGGGGTCATCTTCAAATCCTCTCTCTCACACCCACAAGCAAATTCTCACAACTCTATTTTCAAAATACATCCAGAATCTGACCACTGCTCCCCTCCACTGCCAGTACCATCATCAGTCACCAGGACTATTGCAGTCACCTCCCTGCTCACTGGTTCCTGCTTTGGCCCTTATGCCTACAGTGTTTTACACTCAGCAGCCAGAGAGATCCTATTAAATCCTAAGACAAATCACATCCCTTCTCTACTCACGAGCCTTTGTGGCTTCTTACTCATTCACAGTAGAAGTCAAAGTCCTCTCCATGGCTACACCACCTCTCTGAGCTCACCTCCAGCCACTCTCCCTGTTGCTCACTCTGGTCCAGCCACACAGGTCTCACTGTTCCTCACATATGCCAAGCACCTTCCTACCTCAGGGCCTTTGCATTAGCTATTCCCTTTGCCTGGATGGCTCTAACCTTGGATATCTGCAGGGCTGCCTTCTTTACCTCCTTGGGGAAGCTCAAACATCATATTATCACAGAGGCCGACCTGGGCATCCTATTTACAATGTAACATCCCTCTCCACTCCCCTTCCCTGCATTTTTTATTCTATAGCTCTTACACCATCTGACATATTTTTAAAGGTTAACTTATTGGCTTTTGCTCCCTTAGGGAATCTAACCTCCATGTGGTTTTGTGCATATTTTTTTGTGCATTTTGTTCATTGCTGTGTCCCTAGTGTCTAGAACAGTGTCTGACACACAGTAGATGCTCAGTAACTATTTGTTGAATTAATCAGTCAATGGAGATGTGGTGAATGAAGTGCTGGAATAAGTCCTGAGGTAATGGGTAGAATAGGAGTGGGGTGAACAGGTCCTGAGGAATCTACCCAGTGATCACTCAGGGTTCCCTGTGAGTTTTGGGGGGCTCACCACCCCTAGATCACAGAGCGGTCAGAAGGACACACACAGACCATACACCCTAAGCCTTGCCCCAGAAATGGGTCCCCATATGTGTGTGTGTGTGTGCACCCATTGGAGAGCAAGCGTAGGTGGAAGCCTCTGGCCACCTGCTCAGGCTTGAGACCAGGGGGCACCCAGGCATACTCCTCCGAGGCACAGCCTGAGTCGTCATCAGAGATGGAGTGGCGCTGGAAGTCTGAAATTAGCCGACACATGATGCGTTCCAGGTCCACAGGCACTGCGTGCACAGCATGCTCCTCCCGAGGGCATTTGCAATGTTGGCAGATCTTTCTGAGGGGACCGAGACAGGGTCATTTTCTAAGGGGTGGTCTACTTGGACCCTTCAGTAGCTCTAGGAAGTCCAACTAAGGGACAGGGACGTGCAGATTATCAACACCAAAGGATTCTCAGCTGGGACAGGACTCTGGGCCTAGGGGCAGGGCTGAGAGGGGGTGAGGCTGTGGGGTGCAAGCTGTGAGATGGGGTGGAGGGTATGGCTGTGAGCTGGGGGGTGGCTGTGGAGTGTCAAGGCCATCCTGACTTTCATTTCTGGAACTTATATCAGGGTTTCCCACAGTGGGCCAGAATTGGGGCTGGACCCTGAGTCTGAGACTGGAGTTGTAAGTCTAGAGGCTTCCCCTCAGAACTGGCTCTGGACATTGATTGAGGGTGGGGGGGATTTCCCTGGAGGCAGGCTCTAGCCTGGGCTGAGGTTCTGAACTTAAGGGCGGGTGGGATACTGAGCCTGTGGGTAGGGCCTGAGTCTGCTTGCTGTGGGCTCACTATGGTATTTTTTGAGATGTTTTGGGGCTGTAGTAGGAGGACAGGGCACTGGGTTTGGTACAAGAGTTCTGAGCCTAGGAGCTAGGCTGGAGGTCAGTGGGTGGTTCTCAGAGCCCAGAACAAGGATCTCCCTAGGGATGGCAAGTGTGTGTGTGTGTGTGGCACTACTGGGGGCATGGCTGTGTAGTGGGTGGAGCTCTCCTGGTGGATGGCAAGTGTGTGTGTGTGTGTGTGTGGCACTACTGGGGGCATGGCTGTGTAGTGGGTGGAGCTCTCCTGGTAATGGGACAATTGGGAATGAGTCAGGGGAGGGACTCTGAGTCAGCAAGAGGCTCTTTCTACAACAGCTCCTTCAGTAGACAGGGCTCAAGGCTAGGGGCATGGTCTAAGCCTCTGGGAGCTCCCCTGAGGGCAGAACTCCCACAATAGTGAGGACCCTGGGATGGTCACCTACCTCCAGCCATGCAGCAGGAAGCCAGGGCACTGCTCCCTGCAGGAATTGCAGGGCTGGCCACGGTCTGGGTCCTCTGACTCTGGAGGCTGTAGTGGGCAGGGTAGGGGTGGGGAAGACATGGGACCCAGCGAGGCGTGGGGGTGGAGAGGGAGAAATCATCGCTTGCCTCTCCACCCCAAGGCCCGCGACTGCATGCTGGGACCTGTCCCACCAGTGCAGTGCTGGGCAGGCTGGGACAGCACCAGGAGAGCGGGGGAGGGGGACACAACCGAAGTAGAGGCGGGGCAGTTGAGGCCACTTCCCTATCTGCCCCCTTTTCATGGAATTCTCCTACCCAGGCCAGCCTCGGACACCTCCCACCAGCCTCTGAGTCCTCCAGGCCTCAAACACCTCCCTCAGAACTTCTCCCCACTAGAGCACAGGGTCCCTAACCTGGGCGTCCCTCCCAGGCCTCATCTTTGCCCCTTCTCCACCCACAAGGCCAGTAGCACTCCAATTCCCCAGCATAGAAGCCTGAGACCCCATCCTTACCTGAGATCCCCACATGAACCCTTCCCCTCTTTTCAGAAGCTCAAAAGTCCCTCCCCCAAACCTTGGCTTCACCTTTTCATATCCAAGGAACTGAGGATCCTTTTACAGGATCTCAGGAGGCCCTGATCTATTCAGAAACCCCCAAGAAGCCTTGGCGTTTACCTTTCATATCCTAGGGTTATTCACTTCTCTGGATCACCAAACCCAGACCCCACCTAGAGACCCTCTCCAAAGGAAGAAAGACACACAACTACCTAGGGAGTCACAAGCTCCCTGGCTCAAGTGAGAGCCTGGAAGCCCTTTCCCCCCAAATCCCAATCCCTCGACGTTAGTATTCTGACACCCCAGGAGTGTAGGACCTCACTCCTCAGTTCACCTGCCAAGGTTCAGGGGGAAGTCCCTGCTCAATCCAGGACCCCAGTATCCAATCTTTCGGCCCTCAGAATGGCCTCCCATAATTCACAGGAGAGGGGCGCACACCAGGTCGCTTCTTCCAACAGCCCCAGCCCCTCCGCTCTGGTAATCCTGGGATGGGGATTCTCAGACCCTCTGTGTAATGCCTCTTCGCTATCCTTATCCCTTGCCCTCTCTTTTGGGCCTCAGTTTACCTCTGCCCCCCACCGCTGCCCTAAGTCTCCTCACCGCGCGCCCGGAGCGGCGCCTCCGGGACCCACGAGCGAACATGGCGCGCCCGGACAGGTTAAAAGCCGGACAGGGTCAGCCGAATGGAATCCTCGCGGCCGTCAGTTCCCCGCGCGTCCCTGGGAGCTGTGTTCCGTAAACCTGACACCGGCATGGGAGGAGCGCTCCCTGCAGGGACCGCCCCTGGGCCCTAAATCTTTCCCGGGCCAAGGCGCCCCCTGCCTAGAGATGAGGGGTACGCAGCCCAGAAGTACCAGGCGGGAAAGCTCCCCGGCCCTCCTGCAGCGAGCGGGGGTGGGATCTCAGAAGGCAAAGCTCCAGAACCCGAGGTGCTAGGTGACCTCTCATGGAACGTTCTAGGGCTTGAGGGTTCTGTAGTGGAGGAGGGGGCACTTGGAAGTAGTGACCTGACTGAAGGAGTGGTGCTCTAGAGTACTTGTATTGGTGCTTCGTGTTGCTTTATCTTGGATGTTTATTTGGCGGAGCGATTAAATCCACTTGGCTTCGTCCCCACTGGTGATGTTACCCTGTCTCTTTTCCCGGGATGAATACTTCAAGAGTGGTCCCCGACCCCATCGCAGCCCCAGCTGGTGCTCCCTTGCCCTCGTCAGAGAGCTAGATTTTACACACGCCCCCAACACCCCATGCTCTCATTCCCTTTCAGAGCCAGGATGATTTGATTTAGAGGGAGGAAGTTAAAGTCACTGGTCATGTTCCGAGATACTCTTCTCCGCACTCTCCCCTTCCTTTACAGGCCCAGCTGTCTAGCCCTCTAAATGCTGAGAAATACATCTTAAATCCTTCTTTCCCCGGCTCCCATTTTTCACTCTCCGGTTAGATAATCCCTTTCCTGAGCTCAGTTGCAGAGCTGGGAGTCTCTCACTCTTCGCTGTGCCTCGGGGCTGGGAGGAGGGTCCTCTCAGCCGGGGTAGGCGGCAGCAGCAGTCCGCTGGGCCTTTCATCTTGGGCGCTGCCCACCCTTCCACCTTTTACGCACAACTCTGTCACTTCCCGCCCCTCCCTGACCCAGGGAGGATCCCGGGAGAGGTTAAAGGAAACAAATGAATGAACGAGCTACTCCAGCGTCCCGCCTCCCGGCTTTGCAGCCTAGCCGGTCTCCCGGTTCTCCAGCTAGGGCTGAGGCCTAGGAAATACAGAAACAGCAGGGTGTGAAAAATACAAGCAGGTTGGTTAGAGGGAAGTCTCCCCGTTACGTATGGGGGTCCTATTCGGGCCTCCTGGGGATCTGAGGACAGGGCTCCACAGGGGCTGGGAAGGGGTGTGGCTAAGGGACTAGAATTAGAACAGAACCCTAGAAAGACAGGGCATTCAGTGGCCGGTAGTGGGGCAGTGGGCAGGGCTACTCAGAGCATGTCTTAGAATGATACATGAGGCTTCAAAGAAGGTAAGACCCAGCATAACATTGTTAGAGGGGCCTAAAATGGTGGGATGACTTGAATGTGTTCAGCAGGTCAGGGCAAAGCTTCCTCTTGCTTCCTCTCTCCCATCTCTTCCTTTGTCCTTCGCCTCCCACCCCCTCAGAAAGACGCACTGAGAACTCAGAGCCAGGTAGACAGTAGACTCGGTGGTTGAAGAGTTTATTTAAGGGAGGAGAATTAATTATATTTTTCTTCCTTGGGGAGGGAGTCTTCAAACAATACCAGAGGGCATGGGAAAGGGTATGTGTGTGAGGTCTGGAAGGAAGGGGGTGCACAGCCAGACAAAATGGCAACACACGATCACAGGCACTACTGACATCACAGACACAGCAGAGGGTGCAGGGTAGGGGCTCAGGACCAGGCCTCCAACCACCCTTGGGGTTGGTGTGTGGAGGGAGGGAGGAGGCAGGGGAAGGAGGGAAGAGGGGTGGGCCAGCCCCACAGACCCACTGGCTCTGTCCTCTGATTACCTAGCTGTTGCAGGGGCAGTTACCTAGCTGTGGGGTAGGGGTGCTTCTCTCTGGATCCCACCCCTTACCCTCCAAGCCTTATCTCTCAGTTCTACCCAGGCCACCTTAGTCTCCAACCTTGGCCAGGGATATCCCCCCTCACCCACTGTCATACCTGTCCACTTAAAAATATATATTTTTCACTGCTCGGGGGCATGTCCCTTCTGAAACCACCACACACGCCCCACTCTAGGCTCTGTACCATCTAGAACCCAGATTACAACATCACCCCAAGCTTGGCCTATTCCTGAATCCCACTTCTTGCCTTGTGCAAGATCAGGCCCCTTTAGGATCGAACTCAGTCTCCCAAATGTTCCAAGTCACACCCCTTCCATAGACTCTGGTCCCAATCCAAGAGCTGCCACTCTGGAGCCTCACCCATTGCTTGATTCAAGCCCCACCCCTTCTAGAACCATGCCCTGGGTACTCTTCCAAACCCTGTCTCTAGGTTCCAAGGCACACCCTTTCCATAGAACCCTGTCCTACTCCAAACTCTATCCACTCTAGGGTGCACCCACAGCCTCACTCAAAGATCCACTCCTAGAACCAAGCCCTCAGCCTCCTTCCAAATCCCACTTCAGAAGTCCCGCTCTAGGGCATCCTTCTTCTTTAGACTCCAGATCAGTATGTCTGAAACCCAACCCTTCTGCTTACTAGACCCTTCCAGCCCAGAACTCCTCTCCAAGACCACTTTGGGTCCCCAGTCCCTCAATATGCCTTTCTCCCCAACTCAGGGTCAAATTTTTCCTAATGGCCCCTGTTTAGGATTGATGGAAGAATCAAGGCTGGAGTTAGGAGGGGAGGGAGAGAGGGGAGAGAGTATGAAGTCACACCCACTCTCCCTACACAGCCAAGGTCTTTCTCCTCCTCGTCCCCTTTTCAGAGTCTCCCCAACCTCAGGGCACAGGGCCAGGGAACAGACAGGGGCCAAAGGATACAGAGGAAGGGGTTGCTGTAAGAGAGGGGCCCACTCAAGATCAAGATCAGGTCCCTAATGCATGAGGAGAGTGGAGTAGGGGCAGGACTCAGACAAATAGATATTTATGCATTTTATATA